TATATTATTATTATTATATAATATATGCTATATTATTATTATTATTATTATTATTATTATTATTATTATTATCATATTATATATTATTATTTAATGTTATTTAATTTTATTTTTTACAATTTTATTATCATATTATTTTCTATTTTTTTGTTATTTTTTTTATTATATTACACATTCTTGGAATTTTATTTTTCATTTCGTCATTACATTATTTTCTCTATCGTTCAGATCAATATTAGAATTGTAGAATTTTTAGACCTTCGTCCACACAGATCCACGCTCCCACCAATCTAACACAACAATGAATGCAATATCTCTGTAGACTTATATTTTATATTTGCCACTAGTCGTTACTGCAATTTTCTATTTTATCGCTGTAACAAAACAAGAAAGTCTCTGAACGCGACACGTATGTATTTGAAAAGGAAATGACATAGCGATCGTTGAGTCAACGATCTGGAAATTGTTCTACGGACAGGAAACTTTCGTACGTTTGTAAGTTGTTAACTTCTCTTTTCGCTTTGCGTCTTCGCCATGCTGATTGCCGTGCGTAATGACACGTAATCAACAGACACAAGATCTTCATGGACAATCCACCACCGCGAAACCGTTCTCTCTTGTTAAACACAGCTAACCATTGAAATTTGTGGTGTTAAAAAAGTGCCATAAGGGGTGAAACTCTTCTGCTTTCCAGAGCGAGAGAGGAGTGTCGAACTGAAATCATTATTCGAGCTGTCTTTTATTTCTCTAGTTGCCTAATCTCTTTGTCGTGCACAAGTATTGCAATCATGGTAAATGGCACAAGGTTTCTTTTTTTTTTTTTATAATTCATTTGATGTTCGATTCGTTATACTGCTTTGTAGCAACCTTGTGGACAACCTGTAAATCTGTAATACTATGTCTGAAGATATAGTATCGCGTTTTATTGGAAATCATTTGCAATTACGTCGAGGCAAAGTAGTTCAGTTAGCGCTGAATTGAAATATATATTGTATTAAACGTAACAGTAAGTTAAAACAAGATCAGAAACTCCAATTAGGACGATTGAAGTATAAAATTTGCAACAAATTTGTAAAATTCAACTGCAAGAAATTTTATAATATAAAGAATGTTACATAAGCAAAGCTTTTATAATATGAGAATATAATGTACAGCTTTGTACGTAATTTGTACAAAATTATTCGAGTTTCTAAATATACTGAATTATATAAAATATAAATATACATTAGTATGAAATTTCTATGAAGAGTTAATTATTTTTGTAGTTCTAGTCTCAAAGTTTTAATTAGAGTCTCCGTTCTCGTTTTTAATTTTATAATTATTTTAAATTAACTTTACTTATTATTAATTTTTTTAAATTAACTTTATAAATATTTTAATATAACTGAACATATATAATATATATATATATAAGAAGAACATAGCCAAAGAAATCATTATAATCAAATAATATTACCCATAGCTATTAATAAGAATAACATTTCTTCGTTCTTCGAAGCTTATTTGATTAACTATCAACTCGATACAAGTAAATAATCAACAAGAGGATATATAAAAAATATAAAGAGAGAACTATTCCGTTTAAGTACTCGCGCACTTGATAAAAATGTTCAAATTTAATTTTCCCCGGCGAACGAGATCGTTCTATGAAAAAGTTTATTTTCACTTCATTTGCTGAAAAGTGCATAACATTGTGAGGAATGAAAGCATGCTGATGATTAAATTTCATATTAAATTTCACTTTGCTACTTTCACTTTGTTTCACGGATAGAAAAGTGTATAAATTTAGTGAAATACAATGATTGCCAATACGCTCGTAGAAGTTAATTTCATGTGCTTCGATATTAAAATTGATACAAGCTAGATACTATCAAGATGCTTCGTCACTGTTGTAATTCTTTTTTTTTTTTTTTTTTATAATACGAAAAATGGAATGCCAAAATATAGAAGACCACCGCGAGAAACGTTCATCTTCTTAAATATAAATAAATTGTTGACAAGGAATCGTAATATTAATGCCAACAAGTAGAAAACTACAATCTGTGAATAATCCATCAGCAGCGAAAATATTCACGAAACATTTTCTAAATATAAGAAACGTAATATTAACCCGTGCAGACAGAAAATTGTAATTTGTCAAAATTTGTATGGCGTTGGAAAAATTATTATTATATATTATTATATATATTATTATTATATATTATTATATTTATTATTATTATATATATTATATAACATTTTCATAAATACCAATGTATATCTGTTAATTGTACTAATTTCCCTTACTACGTACACAATACTTGCATTCATAACAATGATTTTCAATGTCTTTGATCGCAAAGTAGACAATTGGACAAAAGCTAATGATAGGAAAATATATAACGGATAAAATCAGATTGCGATTTGTCAGCGACGAGAATACAGTGATCGATCGGCGATGTGAGACGTGAAATGTGGACAGACGATGGATTCATACCTCGTTGCAGAAATATCTGGTAAACGTTTCGTTTCAAATATGGATGTAACCTCGGTCCGAAAGCTCGCCAGGAGCCACGTGATCAGTGCCCACGCTCTCGAAACCTTCCCGACCAGTTCGTTTCGTTTTGTTTCATTTCATTTTACTTCTCATTTCGCACGATATCCGCGAATCTGTTCTACTGTGCCGGTTAAATTCACGGGGAATAATCGCGTGCTATTTGACTGTGCTGAATTTATAAATAGCACGAGACGAGGAGGAGGAGGTCGCTGGATACCAACGAGACGCGATGCGAGATGTGCAGAATAAAATGGACATCGGGTTTTTTTGTTAAAGATTGTCATTTGTTATGAGAAAAATGTTGACACATATATTTAATGGTAGTTCTTGTATATTTATATGATATTATTTATATAAATTGTAATATTATTATATAAATATATAAATATATATATATATATATATATTTATATAATAATATTATAATTGATATAAGAATTATACTTCTCATATATTTATATAAAAGTATACTTTTATATGTATTATTTGTGTGTTATACGTACTTCGAATAGTTTTAATAGTATACTTGGTAGTATACTTTTATATATATTTATGTATATTACGTATACTTTAAACTTTGTATAGTATACTTAATAATATATATATATTTATATGTATAATTTTTTAATTTTATAATATAGTAATATTATGGTATATTAATATTATATATATATTAATATACCATACTTTTATATTATAATACGTATTATAATACGTATACTTTTATATTTTGTATACTTAATAATATATATATATATATTTATTTATTTATATGTATAATTTTTTAATTTTATAATATAGTAATATCATGGTATATTAATATTATATATATATATTACGTATACTTTTATACTTTGTATAGTATACTTAATAATAATGTATGTATATAGAAAAGTATGCTATTGTACTTTTGTTCCCTATCTTATAAATTGTCTAGTACTTAAATCTTTTATTTGTGTAATTTCTAAATTCTGATAGACATGCAATATTAGACAATCTGTGAAATTTTTTAATGGCATTAAGTTTCAAGTAATACCCCTCTCGGACATCCTTGATCAATCAGGTGGATCTGGTGACAAGTTTTATCTTCTCTTTAAAAAATGTTATGATTATTTTACTGGCAATAAACGACATCATCGATTTTATGACTATTTTACTGGCAATAAAACGACATCATCGATTCATATGAATTTATGAATTAAATTAGATCAATGTTATGAAATTTTGAAACTATCTCACTGACAGCAAACGAACAAATGAAACAATATTGTAGATTAAATTAATGTGAAATTGAATTTTAAATTAAACTACACCGACGATGCAAAATTAATAATTAAATTTCTGTAAAAATTAAATGCAAAGTAATAATTAAATTTCACGAACAAGTCACGTTACATATCTCTTATTTTATATCTTATTTCCTCTAGTTTTGCCTGACGTTGCCGTCATTTCTTTCAAACTTGTTATAATTGTGTTACAATTAAATATACGCACATGGATAATATTTCAATTAAAAAAAAAAAAAAAATTTCCAATATAAATACTCTACAATACTAAACAGATGATAATACTGCTGTTCATCGCGAAATTCATAAAGAGGACAATTCGTACGTTTCCAAGAGAACGTTCATTTCGTCAAAGAAGATCTTTGCAACCGTTCTCTCTTTGGTACAAATCGTCGTGAAAGCTAACAGCGAATGGATCGAGCAGCGCGTAGGACAGAAACGGCAAAGTAATCGTGACGTTGGCGTAATTCAACGTCTATTATGCTTAACACCGAACGAAGATGAATGGCAGCTTCTAGCTTCAAAACGGGATTGAAAGTCACGTTAGAAGCTAGAAGCTCGAGGATGATTCTCGTGGAATGAAACAGCGTGAAGCGACGTTGTATGTTCGGGGGAACATACGTTATAAACGGTTTCGTGATCGCCGGATCTGCGGATTTTTATGCAAAATTCATAGTTTGCAAGCGTGATTGAGAAAGTAGAGCCTCGATGGAAAATCGTCGCACGTAACGAATTGTAATAATATATAACAATAATTTAATATTGAATATTTTATATATTTATAATCGGTGGATCGTCGCACGTAACGAATTATAATAATATATAATTTAATAATTTAATATTTATTAATTTAATAATTTAATACTAAATTATTGTATATATATAAAATTTATTAATTTAATATTTATTAATTTAATAATTTAATACTAAATTATTGTATATATAAAATTTATTAATTTAATAATTTAATACTAAATTATTGTATATATAAAATTTATTAATTTAATAATATTAATTTAATAATTTAATATTAAATTATTGTATATATAAAATATACAATAATTTAATATTGAATATTTTATATATTTTTTTCGTATATTGTATCAATTTTATTTTACTGTATGAACGATTCGTATTCGTACACATTGTATCGTATTATAACTAAATTTTGCCGTATGATGGAAAAGTCACTAACAGAATCAGTAAACTCGCATCATACGAACACCGATTATGCAAATTATTGATCACCTCGCACGGAATTTTACTGTGTACGCTAAATTCACAATAACGAGATTGGTACTGATCGACTGATTTCTCGTTACAGTTCCTGCAAAACTTGGGCAAAGTGGACAGAACCGCGGACGACATATTCGACGAGCATCTGCAGAACTTTATGAGACAGCAAAACGCCGCGAATAGATTGCAAAAGGAGTTTAACAATTACATCAGGTGTGTTCGAGGTAAGTCGATCGAGAATAAATCAGATTAGAGCACGTGGGTTACGTGATTTACATAAACGTGATCCGTCAAGTCAATTGACAGTGACTCGTATCGAAAAATGCGTCTCAGAAAATGATAAATATAATATTGCTGGTTGCTCATTGGTTATTCTAATAATAATAATAATAAATATATTTTATTCTAACAACAACAACAACAACAACAATAATAATAATAATAATAATTCTCGAAACATTTTATTCTATTCGTTTATTTTATTCTAAATAAACTTTATTTTATATTTTTAGTTTAATAAACTTTTTTCGCCATCTGCCATACAAACAGATCTTAGCACTTGCTAAGAAGCTAAAGTGGTGAAGTCGACGCAACGAAGGGGCGGGGGAGGGGGAGGGTCACGCTACCAGTTAGGGGAGTAGGGGCACGGACCGCCAGTTCGCCATTCGAAATTCTCGAACAAGTGGATTTAATCTATGATTTAATTATGTGGATTTAATCTAATGATTAAAGCGGGAAGGTGTTTGAAAGTGGTGATCGTGCGCTGTATTTAACAATCGTGGATCTCTCACTAACTTTCTATTTTAGATTTAGATATGCTATTTCATTTCGTTAACTTTGTATGTTTTAGATTTAGAATTTCGTTGTTTTCATCGATGAAATCGATCATTGAAAGGAAGCAAACGCGTGTTGACGAGCATGGCTGACAGGTTACATCACTTAATGACAGCAATAAACGCGAAACGACTGTTATTAACGTCTGATAGAAAAAATTGTTTGCCACTGCCCGTGTCAGGCGAATACGACGCAGCTTTTTTCCACGTTTCGTCGCGACTATAATTGTTTCGCTTGGGTTTATGGTATTTAGGATTATTCGAATATCTAATAACTCTTATTATTATTATTACACACGCAGATAATATACAAAAAAAAAAAAAAAAATATTAGAAACTCTGTCATTTAACAGTGTTGAGGTTAATTATGAAGAAAATTTATTTTCAACACAAAAGATTGTGCATCGGTCAGGTACGTTGATGCTGAAATTTGAAAAACGGGAGTCAAGAAATGGAGTCAACTACTTTGACCTTGTTAACGACTCGTTAACCTTCTAAGGACATCTTAACCTTCTAAGAACGGGGTATTTAGATCTCCCTTCGCTAATGGACGGATTGAAATCGCCAGGCGAAGTTTAATTTTAAATGTAATTGTAATTCCTATATTCTCAAAGTTAATCAAGTCAAATACAAGACTACGTTATTTTGCAAATAATTGATTATAATTTATTATAATACATTCGGCTTTCTCAGATATTATATAGTTATCGATATATCGGACGTTAGTACTTAGAAGGTTAAATCAGTCCGAAAAGTATCGTACATTACGTTAGTCAACACATCTGGCATTCTGGGCTCAAAGAGGTAAGACACAGTTTGTTATGGAAACTTTATAATAATTTTATATATAAAATGATAGCAATTTTATAATATACGTTATAATTTTATATTATAATAAGTATAATAATTTTATATATAAAATGATAGCAATTTTATAATATACGTTATATTATAATATAATATAAAATTATTATATTTTATAATAATTTTATATATAAAATGATAGCAATTTTATAATATACGTTATATCAATAATATTATAGTATAATATTATATAGTAATAGTATAATATTAATATTATAAAAATATTATTTGTAGTATAATATTATATAGTAATAATATTATAGTTATATATATTATAATATATATAGTAATAATATTATAGTTATAGTATTATAGTTATAAAGGGTCACTTAGATTTAGTCAGGAAAAGTTTATTTAAAAATCGTAACTCGAAATTGACGAAACGATCACTCCGCTATTTCTCTGCCTGTAGAAGCGTCGAACTCTGCCAGATTATGCTTCCGCATACTGGTAACCGTAATACATTACCCAGGCTAAATCGGCGCGACGTCCTTTTCCTCCGGGTGAAATTGCCGCTGTAAGTCCTTTGAGCTTGAATTACGGTTCCGCGGCTCCAGCGTGACCGCACACGACGACTGATCTCGGAATAATGATAGAATCGTAAGGTTGGCATTCGATAATAATCTACCACTATCTGAATTATGCACGTCGTGTTCATTCGATAATATCGCTGTCTGAATCGTGTATGCCATGTTTGAACGCGTTCTAATCGAACGCACGTAAAGAGAATTTTATACAGAAGAAGTGCAGAAGATTAAAAACATTGAACCATGGAGCAAGGGGAATAAAAATGGTTGAGAAACTCCCATCTAACGTGATCTCTCGCAGTCACACAGCCTCGAGAAAGTAAATTTACAACTGTGTTGCACTACTATCGCCGCTGGTGGTGAGAAACCGTTTCGAGTACGCCGTTTCGTCGAGATGCGTACGCTTTCGCGAGTGAATGAGGGGGCTGGATGAATAACGTAGACGTTGAATAACGACCGTCGTTTCTGCGCAGGCCCTACGCAACACTCGTTGAAACGTCAATCGTCGAGAGACAACGGCGAAAAACTGCTGTTTCATCCGTGGCTTCGGATTTTCTGTGGATTTTGATTTTTTTTTTTTTTTTTTAATTCTCCAGTTTTCTCGAGCTTTCCGGGTGAAGTTTTCGAGACCCAAAACTGAACTCTCGGTCTTGCACTTTTCCGTTTCAAGAAGCGGAGTTAATTTTCGTTGAACGGACAAGTACAAAGAGAAACAAGTAGCAAGGAATATCTAAGATTCTTCTTCAACTCTTTGCACTTGACTGTCCCCTTTTAAGGGGACGTCGTCCTTAAATCTAGCCAACAGCTCGGACTTCCTTTTTCTGTAATTTTTGCTGACGATCGTAACAAACGTATACATTTGGCGTTGCATGATGCGATGTATGATAGTACAATATCCGAACAGATGCTTAGAGTGAGAGCTATAACAGGTGAGCTCTTACCTGCCGATACGATGAGGATCTTTCGTTTCAATGTTAACCCCCTGCGCTGGGCAACTGGTTGCGCGGACCATAACGAGTGACCGAACCGTATACAACAATCCGTCGCTCTCTTCTTCTATTGAACTCGTCGGTGTGATGCCACTGGATAGAAATGATTAAGAAGTAATGAACTTATCGTTTGTTTTGCCTCGGTTACGTTTAAATATGCAAAAAACTGACGAAAAGATTGCAATATTTGGGACGAAAGATCCTCGACGTGCATGGCGCAAGATGGTCACCTTCATAAAAATGGATTCCAAAAATATTCAGGCATATTTTTTTACTTCCAATTTATCTCCGAAATAAGAAATAATATCGAAATATAATATATAATATAATAAGGAATAATAATTCCGAAATAAGGAATAATATCGAAATATAATAAATAAATTTTACTTCCAATTTATCTCCGAAATAAGGAATAATATCGAAATATAATAAATAATATAATAAATAAGGAATAATATGGAATAATAAAATAATATAATAAATAATATAATAAAAATTTTACTTCCAATTTATCTCCGAAATAAGGAATAATATCGAAATATAATATATAATATAATAAGGAATAATAATTCCGAAATAAGGAATAATATCGAAATATAATAAATAAGGAATAACATCGAATAATAAAATAATATAATAAATAATATAATAAATAAATTTTACTTCCAATTTATCTCCGAAATAAACAATAGTTTTTCGAGGAATATATTATTTCTTAAATTTCATCGTGTGTATATATGTATGGATACGACGCGACCGATTTAAAAAATGCCTGAACGTTTGAGAAAACATCCAGCAAGATTCGGGGGGAAATACGTCAGAAATGAAAATTAATAGGATATCGAACAGGAAAGACATGCTGACATTTATTCAATCTCGCGTCATCGCGAGTTCAACACGTTCAAAGATTATTTGTGGAAAGCTCGGGAGGAGGAGGTCACGATGAAATTTTCAACTGGGAATCCACTCTATTTTTTGGTTGCACGTTCTTATAACGTCGGAACGTTTTTCCAATTGCCGTCTATGCACGAAATTATTTTTCAGATATATTTTTACCTCGCAATCCTATACATAGGTTCTTTGAATGTCACAACAATATTTCGTCGTACATTCCACAGTTCCACCATAATTAATTTATATAGAAATGTATAAAAAATATATTTTAATGAATATTAAAATTTTCAAATAGATACAGGTATCTATAGTCGCATGCGCTCAGTCTTCGATAACCAGTTCTATTTCAGAATTCATTACCTACGTTAGAGTTAATTTACATGCAGTTGAATCCAAGTAAATCGCAGTGAGCAAAAAGAGGTTTCATATCATGACCGAACGACGAGTATACAGCATCAAGCACTTTGAACCTCTTGTTTTTCTACGTCAGTGGCGTAGTCTTTTCAACAGTCTATTTCTGGAAATTTTTTTTTATTCTTATTATTTTACAATAGAATTTTCTAACAGTTCCTGAAAGTTCTTCTTCATTCTTATTATCTCGCGGTACAATTTTTCTAATTTTATAACATAGACACATAATGTACAATTTCAGAACTATGTTTTAGAATTTTCTACATTTCCTTTCTTTGATGATATCATTTGATATGCTGTTCGTGTACAGCATAATTGTGATCGCATCAACAGTGTCTCGACTAAAATTAAATCTATAAACAAATGTATTATTAAATTAATCGATAAGCTGTTGGTACAGCATCATTGCTCGCAACGTTTGAAGTTTGAAAATTACATACTCTGTGCTAATTTGAGAGATACATTAAACCTATCATTATATCGGGATAATTGAGTTTGCCTATTATTAGATTTATTATTGTCACACGGCGCAATTGAGTTGGCGCATTTAGGGCGTTTCACTTTGCAATTGCATTTAGTAATGTACGAAATTCAATTATACCTTAGATGATTTTTCCAACGATAACATTTCACTCCGCCTCTGAAATTAATTAAAATTATACGCCGTGTTTGTCGGATTTCGTTCAAAAATTTGCAAAAAGATTGCATAATTCAGTTAAACTCAGCGGAACATTGTTCCTTTGCCAAAGAAAACCTGCTCCTCGCTTCAATCCCTTGTTTTTTTTTTTTACTTGAACTATTCGACAGATAAATTTCAAACAAAACGTACGTTACGTACATCGATTGTAAACAACGTTGCGCTAAGTGCTAATTGCAACAGTAAACGAAAAAGAAATTCCACGAATGCGCGATTTTGTCATCAAAAGCAGGTCGCTGTTTTACGTAGGAATCGACGACGACGACGGCCGCTCGAAAAAGGAACGTGCCTCTTTCGTAATTTTCCGCAGAAATCCGTTTCTACGCCGATGCCTTTTACCTTTCCTTTTTATCAGCCGCCACCGCGATGTAACAGTATTCGCGTACACGTGAAACCCGCATGCGCTTTGCCCGCAAAACCTGTCGATAGATACACGCGTCCGCGAGTTTCCCATTTTCGCGACAAATCGCACACATCGTGCGCCACACCGCCGACGAAAGACACTGTTCCTTCGTTTCTCGAGAAACAGAGTTGGCTAGATTAATGTTAATCCGTTGTATACCGATTAACGATCGAAGATTACGATCAACAAGGTCAGACGAATTGACCTGTTGTCCAGGACGAGTTACGATATGTAAAGATTTTTCGATCATTTGAATGTTATCAATAATTAATCGTTAAATGTTTTATGCATATATAAAAAAAAAATTTTAATATAAATAAATATTGTATATATATGTATATAATAAATCATATCGATCATTTTTTTCATTATTTATTATTACATATATGAATAATTATAGTATAATTATAATATATTAGTATATATATTTATAGTATAATTATAATATAATTAATATATATATATTTATAGTATAATTATAATATATTAGTATATATATATATTTATAGTATAATTATAATATATTAGTATATATATATTTATAGTATAATTATAATATATTAGTATATATATTTATAGTATAATTATAATATAATTAATATATATATATTTACAGTATAATTATAATATATTTATAGTATAATTATAATATATTAGTATATATATATATATATATTTATAGTATAATTATAATACAATTAATATATAATTAATTATTTATTATTACATATATGAATAATTATGCGTACTTGCGTATTGAAAATCGTACAATATATATATATGTATATCACATAGCTTCGATCCTCCAACTGCCTAATAAAATTACGAACTCTCGATGGTAAAATGTATTATAATTTTCTTACGTTCCAAGACACATTCATACACGATTAAAAATGTAATGAAACGTGTTTTGCAAGTGACCTTTTTAATAATTTACGCGTGGTAAACACCAGATACACAACCTACGTTGCGTGATTTGAACAAATCGTATTCGTCGTACAGTGAAGAATTTTGATGAAAGTCTGCAAATTATCCAATCTTTTGACAATCGTAGTTGGACGAATTGTTATTAGCTCACAAGAACATATCTATTATAAACGAAGGTATTTTAGAACATAAGAGAAATATTACAAATATCACAAATAATTAAAAATGCAATCAATGATTGATGATTTTTGTTAAATGTTTGATTGCTTGTTGTATTCGTTAGTCGAAAAAATATAATTAAATAATTAGTAATTTGTTAATGATTGAGGTCATTTGCTAACCAAAGATTTCTCTGACTATAGGATTAATAATTAATCATTCGTTAATAATTAATTCGATCTGGTCAATCTTAATCTTCGCGAACACGACGATATGGAAAAATCGTTATCTATATCGCTATATCGATAAATAAAGAAATTAATTTATATAACATCCTCACAGATATATAATTTTTATAATACAAAATTTATTTATCATTATGTCTATGAATATATAGTATAGTATATATAATGTAATGTATAATATGTAATAATAAACATACATTTCATTATATATATAAAATATTATTTGCCCTAATGGAACATAAATTAATAGATGAATAAGTATTATTAAATTAATTATTATTAAAATTCCTGATCGATGATTACAAATGATAAAAGTTATTCATGATTACGTTTTTACATGTATAAATAAATTAAAAGAAAACAAAGGCAAATTTTATTTTAAAAATTGATTTCAAGGAAATTAATAATTCTAATAAAAATACGTATAACCAGTCACGTTTTTTTAGTTTTCTTCAATACATGATTACACGTATACTACTGAAATTCTTAAAAAAAAAGAAAAAAATAAATGGCATCGCTTCCATGACATTATCGCAATTTATATTTTTATCGCATTTATTTATACTGTGTTCGATATTTGTACTTATTTATATATTTATCAGAGTAAAATAACACAATGAATTATAAATTCTAAGTGATTAACAGTAGTTTGTAACGTAATCATTTCTCCCCTGTTTTCTGATTTATAAAATTATTAATCATTATTACTGGATTCGATTGGCCACGTATTTCAAAGCAATTGATTAACTAAATGAAAAATTGTTGACATGTACGTAAAATTTTGCTATCAATAGCCAATATCCTCCCTACTTACAGATTTGAATTCATCACTGTCTACTTACCATATGATTGTCGTATCTCAGTGTAACTGAATGTGACTGAAAGTAGGTTAATACAGTAATTATCTTCAATTGCACATTCATCGACAAAAACAAGCCTATCTCCTGGAAAAGTGTAAAGAAATCAGTATAAAGGAGCTTTCAACCATGCGTTTTGATATTCGTCTCAGTCACGCTTAGCTATTTAATTACAAACTTCCGACATTGCATGGCTTGTTACGTACTCATTTACTAAAAAATCCGTATTCTGTACGCTTTTTATCGATCGAACATCTGGAAATGCTAGTTGCTTGAGAAATTGTCGGATTGATCTTACAATTAGAAAGAACAATATTCAGTTGTGTCTTTAGAGTATCTTCATAAAGATGATGGTTTTCTTTTTCAAAAAATTTCTGCATACACATGATTCACATATATTGTGTAGAACATAGAGATTTGTATAGATCTGTCACAGTGGCACTTTGTCGATCCTCTGAATGTTAATGATAAAATTGTATAAATTTTGTTCTGTAATTCAAAGTGTATTTTTGAAAAATCGTATCGATAGTTTAGAAATTAGATATATTTTAGTAAGCTGTGGATGCTATTAAAAAGTTTCGTATTTATTTAAGAAAAATCTCATCTGTTTTCGATGCGAGTCCGATTGCTGTTAATTCTACTATATATAAATGGCTATAGTAAATGTTTTCGTCTACTCGGAACAGTTTTTCCAAAATATGTTAAAAGAAAAAAATCACTATGTGTGTGCAACATATCATTACATAATGTAATACAATGTTTGTATATATTTACAGCGGTGCAAGCAGCGTCGAAAACACTCATGGATTCACTGAATGAGATCTACGAAAGTCAATGGACTGGCCATGATCTTTTGTACGTGCAGGCTCAAAATTTAGACATGCTGTGGCAAGATTTCACTCATAAGCTTGCCGATCAAGTTCTCGTGCCTCTCAACACATATCAGAGCCAATTTCCAGAGATGAGGGTACGTCTCATATGATACTATAAACGAATTTAAATGCTCATTTAAAAATAAATAAATCGTTGCAAAAATACTGTGTTATCGGTAACGTTGATTTCTCCAACTGTAATTTCAACAATTTGTATCATATATTCTAAAAATCATTAATATAGTTTTTATTTCTCTAATTGCAATTTCATTATCACGTACAATTGAGATTAAAGTGGAATGTAAATTAACATGAAATTCATTTTAATTCATTTGTGCGGAATTTTTATCGTGCAGTAATCGTGGACGGAAAATAGTCGTGTAAATTACATAATAAGCATTGGAGCTATTATGGCATTTGTTGCAGAAAAAAATTGACAAACGTGGACGGAAACTAGTGGATTACGATAGTCAGAGACACAATTTCCAATCGCTACAGTGTAATCCGAGAAAACGGGACGAGCTTAAAGTGTCTCGAGGAAAAGAGCTACTGGAGGAAGCTAAACGTACATACGAACAGCTTAATTCCGAACTTCACGATGAGCTACCTGCCTTGTACGATTCCCGTGTTCTTTTCCTTGTTACCAATTTGCAAACGCTATTCGCTGCTGAACAAGTGTTCCATACTGAAAGTGCTAAGGTATAGTGATGATCGTAATAAATTTTTGATAATGTAAATCGTATTTTATTTTTATCAATTTCATAATTAATTTATATTTATTCATTTTATTAGCTCGGATTTGATTTAAGCTTTATGCAGGGAAAGATCTGTGTATATTTATTTAGTTGAAAATAAGATAATCTTTCCTTGGTAATTAGGTATTCTTATTTGTTAATTAAATACTATAGTCTTGAAATTTAACAAGATCCTTTTATGAATAACTACACACAGATCTTCATATCACTAAAATTTGAAATTCTTTTGTTATATTATTATATATACACACATAGTATTTATATAAGTGTATAACGTATAATATATAATATACAATAATTATTATTAAATAATATGTAAAATTAATTATATATATTCATAACATAAAATAATAAATACATGAATATATAAATTTTTGATATCTCTATTTAAGTGTGATGTTAAATATCATACACTTGTATTCTAGGTGTATTCTGAGTTAGAAGCAATCGTCGATAAGTTGGCCAACGAAAGTCAGAGAGGATCATATACACTGAAGAAAAATACAGAACCACAGTCTCCAAAATCACCAAATGCCAACTCTGCGTAAGTGAACAATTTAGAGCAATGAAAGTTATTCACATATAAATATACTAAATGAAACAAATTTTACTTGTTTTAGTTTAATAATCAATACACAGCCAGCTCAGAATAACATTTCACCAGGTAAATATGCATATAAGTGTCCACGCGCGTCTTTTGTGCGTTTGATTCGTTTGCGTACTAATATCTTGTGCATGAGTGTAACGTAGTTATGCCACATAAAGACGTTCCCGCAGACATAATTATGTGGCTCAATGTTTAGTTTTGAGTGAGCTTTATTGCATGTTACAGCCGTGGATGAGTCTGCTCCAGCAGCAAGAAACACATCACCGACTACTCAATTAAATGGCAATGCTAACAGCAATGCTAACAGCAATGATAATTCTCTCAATAATCAGGATGCATCTCCGCAAAACACGGTTGCGGCGTCTAAGCGTGTGGAAGAGCTGTACGATATTCCCGTTGGTAAGTATGCGACGTGGGAGTAAATGTCATCGGTTACGTCTCTAAAGATGAACATTCATGTACCAGCGATCGAAACTTTTTGTCAAAATGATTTGCCAAATAAGAATTTTTGTATAAAAGTAATTACACAATATTTGTTTAATACGTTACTAAAGATTAGTATAATAATCTTGTCTAAATCTACAGTACATTGTCTACAGTACAATTTGGGGAGTGTTTTATGTATGTTCGGTTAAAAGTTATATTTATTATCTAAATATCTATATGATGAAATATTGGGCGATAATACAGATCATTGAATGAATTTCATCTGCTATAGTTTAAATGATTCATTGCATTTAGTAAGTATTTTGTAGCTTTTATATTACTATCTATGTACTTGTATGAGCACGCATATATATTATTAGTTTTTGTACCTTGAGATGATAAGAATTAAGAACCACTCAAGGCCAAAGATAAAACAATTTTTCAAATTATGTCTCAAAATATGTAATATGTAACAAATATATATGTAAAATTGCTGTGTTGATAGGAGTATGCTGCCTGCCCATTTGTGCATGGTCTTGTTGAAACAATGAAATAAAATTTATTTAATTTTGCTCTTGTTACGTATCGAAATTTCTCAATTAGAGATTTTAGTAATTGAATTTGGGTTTGCATATAATCAATAAAAGTTAGAGTTTAAATAGAACTATATCACAGGTCCATGACTAATGAGGCGGATTCAATTATTTTAGACGTGGAATATGAAAATGGTACCAATTTCTCTCTAGGGGCAACGACCGACAACTTGCCACCTGGAGTTTTATACAGAGTCAAGGCTACTTACAAGTATAGACGCGAGGACGTGGACGAATTGTCATTTGATGTTGGTGATATTATTCGTGTGGTAGAGTATGATGATCCAGAAGAGCAGGTTTGTATTCTCATTTGATATTTTCACACTTGCAAATCTGAAACAACATAATTTTCTTTCTCATATTAATAATAATAATAATGATGATGATGATAAAATTATAATAATAATAATGATGATAAATGTAACGAAATACTTTATTACTCTAGGAACAAGGTTGGTTAATGGGCATCAAGGAAGGTACAAATGAAAAGGGTATGTTCCCAGCAAATTTCACAAAACCACTGTGAAAGCTTTACTAAATTCGTCTATTACACTCCAATGCTCACTGAAACGGCGTATTCTATTTTAAGAATAGTTACAATACTAAAAAGTGAGAGTCACACAGTCATCTGAGGTATTATACGTATAAAAGAGATAAATAATAAATATACAATGAGGGGCAATGGGAAGGGGAAAGGGGTGTGATGAGATAGATATGCTGGAGGGTACTGTGGAAAATTAAGCACCCCAAAGTGCCTTAACCCAGCCACTGTCTGTGCCAACATTCATTGTTTGCAATATGGGGTTATATTCCCATGTCTAATGTACGAATACACATCATTAATAATCAAATGAAATATTTAAATAATTAAATAATATATTGTAATACATCATACAGTACTATAATATAAAACTTATATATTAAATTAATATTATTTTATGAAATTGTACATAGAATTATACATTTTAAGAATATTTTATGGAATAACTGTGGCCACTGAAATTATCAGTAAGAACTAATGTAATGTTTAAGACAGCTCTGTAATGCCCTTTTGGCAGGGAAATATCAAACCTTAAAAATCCAATTGTTTGCATTCTTTTGTTAAGATTTTATTTACTTTATGAAAAAAAGAATTAAAATTTGTCTCGAATAAGGATATTAAAATAGATAACATGCCAAACTTTCAACGCAATTCAATAGCATATAACAAAATAATATAGCTAATCATTATTTTAATATATCGATATATAAAAGCAAAATGTTATTATATTTAAAGTATTAGAATATTAGAGTAACAAAATTTTCTATATAATTCTATTGAAAAGAGTATTATAAGTTCTACCAATAATACATATTTGGAGATTTGTTTTCAGAAATTTATTTATATTTTTTATTATATAATATATTTTTCTTCAGTGACTAATAAGTATTTTTCTGATATATATATAAAATCTAATGTCGGTCATTAATTAAATTACTATTACTGCCTTTACATCCACTGTAGCAAAAATAGAACTAGTATGAGCCAGTGGTCCAAGGAAATGAATTTGTAGCGCTAAATAATATTCGTTAAATAGATTTATTAAGAAAATTTTACATCAACCTTCGTGTAACAAATAAGGTTACGATAACAGATGATTATAAAGTAGTGCAAGACTACTGATTTCAGCTTCCATTAAGTTGTGTGTCCTTTTATTTTATGGTATTGATCTGAGACGTACAGAAAGTTGGATTGTTTATAAATGAAAAGTTTTATGGTTGACCGATTGATCCATTGTCACACTAATTATTAACCCCATATACAGATTAAAACTGTAGACAAATATATTAATGTGTCAAATATCGTAGGTGCATATTAGGAAAACATGTTGAGCATATGTTACAATTACATAGTTATGATAATCATAATGATAGTGGACGGACATATATTTATATTCTATGAAGAGGACCAACAGAAAAAGTAATTGAAAAACAAAAGTATTTAAATAATAATAATAATAATAACAAAAACAGTAGCATCAATATACTCTGTTTTTAAGTATAATTAGAATCTAGTAATTCACATAGGAATTCTATTTCACATGAATTTTATATTAAGAATATGATAAATTAAATATAAAAAAAGATATACAATTACAACATTATATGACACATCATGCTTCATTTCGATATTATTAAATTTATGACATAATTTGAACAAGTACACAAGTACATTCCAATCACAAATAAATAAATATTTAGTAAAAAACTTTGTTTCATTGAATAATATAAAATTTAAATATATAATTTTGTTATATCAAATGTAATATATATAATCTAAAAGTGAAGTAGGAAAAATATTTGTACCAAATTTAAATTATTCTATTTTGTTTTTTTCTAAGTATACTTTGCAATAATTGGAAAAAAAAATATCTTTAATATATACTATAAATGTGCCAAAATAATACAGTATTCTGTATTTCAAAAATGTGATGTTATATATGCGATTATTAGATTACAAGTGAACTCAAATTTTGATATTACTTAGAACGGTCACAAATATGAAAAACGCGAAACTTTATAAAATATATTTGAAGTTACCTATGTACGTTTCAGCAATAATATTGATAGTGCTAATCGTTTGGCAATAGATCTATTAATATTACTAATATGATAAATTATTCAATTCAGTGACAAATTAAACAAATGCATTTAATTAACTTAAAGAAGATAAGGGATAAATATACTGTTCTTCTGACTTTGGATAAAAGCAATATACATTACAAACTTGCTAATATTAGATATAATATATATTATACATAAATTACATTTGAAATGTCATATCATAAATTAAGTGCACTTTCTAATGTGCCATTTCAATATATTTCTATAAGGTATACTATATGTATTTTTAATAGTGTTATTATGATGAATAATTTCGAAATCTCGTTACATAATAAAATGTATTTGAAAAATAATAATTATGTCTACTTATCTTCTTTATGTTACGTTTATTTATTAATGTAACATAGAACCAACAATTATTAACATTGATTACAATTTTGAATGCACCTAAGTAATAATACTGAGGTTTAAAATTTAGTGTAGCAGTGGAGCAATCAATTGTTATATCATTTGTCATTTTTATGTCTTGTTGTTTATTTTATCGAAACAATTAGTCATATCTTTATAACCTTAATATAAGCTATAATACGTATATACATTTATCGCTTTAATTGTCCTTTTCAATTGAAGACGATTATAATAAATAATTAATGGTTTGTAACATAAGTGTTTACAATTCAAATATGTGTTCTGTTTAATGCTCAACCTTAAGACATACTTTCCTTATATCAATCCATTAAAATTATTTCCCGTGAAATAATAAGAGTGAAGAAATCCCATTAAGAAAAATTTCAGTTGTAAGACCATGTGTATATTAATAAATTTATATATATATTTTTTTTCATAAGTGATTCCATGATGTACGTAAATTATTGCATTTGAATTACAGAAATTAAAATCAAGAATGTACCCAGAACAGAAATTTATTTAAAGACAGAAAATGTCACAATTTCATGAACAGAAATATAAACGATGGAGTGATTCTAATTTACATAAACCTTTTCTCTACTGCATACAAACGTCGGAAGAAGAAGAACCTCTATATCCATCGCGATTGTCATTACCAATATTATCATTAACACATCAGTGTACACCTTTTAAAAGAACTTTATCAAATTACTGTTTGTATGGCAGAGAATATGATGAAAAAATGAAGCATTTAAGTTCTTTTGAATCACAAAATCTTAAGGCAATGTTTTAATATATTTATTCTTTAAGATAAAAAAAATTTATGACATATTAATATCTGTTATTTATAGAAATCGAATTGTTTAAAATGTCAAGAATTTGAAAAAGCACGAGAAAAGTTAGAATTACATTTAACCAAAATTCAAATAGAAGAGGCTTTGGCTGAAGATAAACAAACAGCTTTGATACAGCATTTAAATTTAAGTACTAGTGCCCTTGAAGCTCTTGTTCAATATGGACAATCTTTGCAAGTATCTCAATTAGCTGCATGCAGAGTGCTTAATATTAGTCATCTACTTGTATTTCCTCAATCTTACTCTATAAATTCTGAATCTAATACTACGCACTTATCAATGCATCTGCAACAGGTATCACAATTCTTTCAATTATCACAATATATATATTATAAAAGATTAAAAGTTATTAAACTATAGTTTCTATATTATTATCTCTAACAGAATTTAAAGAATAGTTTTTATTTTATTTTACAATTAATCGTGTGTTGTGTGTTATATTTCTATATATTAATTTATTATTAATTATTTACACGATTTCTACATATCAATTATCAACATGGGGTGTGATAGTTGGAAGAACAGAAGGAGAATAAATTAATAATCTTACAAAATTTGATAGAACATTGTTCAAAACACATAGTTCTCTCAAGACGTTTTAATGAATTAATGAATAATCACTGTATGCGGAAAAAAGACTTTCATACAGCAACAAAAAACTTCAAAAACTTCCTTGATAATTTTACATTGTCTGTATCACAAATACAAAAACTACATCAACAATACGATATTATTCTAAATAACTATCAACAAAGTAGATGTATATTAGACTTGGAACTACCAAAAGTTATAAGCACGTACGGCATAAACAAGAATAAATAATTTATCTACAATAATATTTATTAAAAATTGCATAAATTGTGAACAATATTGCAGACGCTTAATGGCCTTATGTGAAGGTTTTGAAAAAATTAAAACTGTTTGCAACAATACAACTGATGATAATGAAATTGTAGCATTATTTAAATTAATTGGAGAAAGGCTTTACACAAAGGGTTTGAATGCAGGTAATAAAAATATAATAAAATAAAAGTATGATACAACATTTACCTTCATCATAATTTTACACGTTTAATAGTGACAATTTCCCAACTTGAAGATTCATCCAAATCTAAATTGTGCCAAAAGTGTAAAATAAACCGTGTGGATGATAAATAAATAAAAAAATAAATAGTATTTGTGCTCTGGCTATTGCTTTTGGTTTTCAATCTGAGAAATATATACACGATATACAGAAATTAGACATTTCATGAAACCTTATATCATGACACTAATCCTATTATTAAACGATGCCAAGGTTTGACCATGCCATTGAAATTTGAATTATAGAAATACACTTTACACACTAAATTTTGTTACATTATTTATACATATATATGTGTGTTTTATTTTTCATTTATTTAAATTTTGAATCTGTCCGCATTTAATGCGAAAAATTTATATACTAATGTTTAATTTAAATATTAATTATTAATTTAATAAATAATAAGTAATTAATTATTATTTTATTCAAATGATTATCAATCAGGTAGAAATCATAAAAATAAATATTCTTAATTCATAATATTTCAGATAAAAATGAAACCAGAATAATAATTATATAATTCATTAGAATGAAACAATAACATCAAATTTGAATTTCGAACCAAGCCACATCTTATGCGCCATCTAACGTACAAAATTTAAAGTTATTTGAATAAAAATCTTAAAGTACATAATTATATTGAAAAGATCGAATCTTACATAATTTTACTACAAATTAATTTATTACTTTGAAACTGACTTTATACACGACTCGTATACGAACGGAGGGAACGTGAATAATTGTTCAAATTTTTCAAGTATTTTTCAAGTAATTTTAATAACTATTAAATTTATTATTGCCAATACGTTACGTTCATCGAATACATAGATAAAGTATAATGCGTTTGTAATAGAAATATATTTGGCATACGTTTAGAATACGTTTGGAATACGTTTAAAATATGTTTAATATACGTCTTAACGTGTGCGTAAAAAAGTACTGATCTACACACATTATCGAAATTAACGTCTATAAACTCGTGTCTTATGTTATCATAAAATTATCGACGAAAATTTCCAAATAATCTGGAAATTACTTCCAGATCGAAATAACGCAGCTATCAGGCAAACGTTCAATCGACGATCGGTCCCGCGATAATTTGAAAGCGGTGCATTTTCAGTAGTTGGCAAATAGACACGTACCGTCTCTATTGCCGTACAAAGTGCATTCACACGAGATACTCTGACGCACTTTCAAGAAAGTGTACACACATGTAGTATACTTTTCGATGACGGGGAGGAATCAATGGAAAATCGCGAGGTTCGTTTTGAATAAGAACAGCGGCTAAATACACAGCGGGAGATAGAAAGAAAGAAATACGAGAAGGCGGCAGGATATTCGGGAGTGACCCGGCGAATAGAATAGAGAAGGAAAAGAGACGAGCAGAGAGCGATAGGGAGGGAGGAAGACAAAGAGAGAGAGTGCGAGAGTGCGCGCGTGATCTCTCGGTGCGAGGAGTGACGGTGGTCGTCGTGTCGCGCTGCGAACCGTCAGAATCGGTCGGTTGTACAGAGACGAGTATAACCTATATCCGAAACGCCGCGGCGCTGTTACATTCTCCGTGCCTCCTCCCTGGCGGATGGCGGCCGCACCTCCTCCTTCTCGCCGATTTTAATCTCGTTAGCGGACACGTGCGCGCCCCCGCGCCTACAGACCACTATACGACGACCTACCGTGCCGGGGCTTCGCCAATCTGGTTTGGTCTAACAGGATTCTCGAGCGACCGAGGGTTGATAAAAGGCTGCGTACCGAGCGGGCGCGGCGCGAATCGCAGGAGGAGTTGCTCCGCTCGAGGTGTGGGCGCTCGTGCAGCAGCGGCAATAACAGCAGACGACCTCGTCATCGTCTTCTATCCTGTCGTCCTCGGTTCGTTGTTTCCGTCTACGTTACCTCTCGTAATCGCGTTCGGTCGTTTGGCATACGTTCGCGTATAGGCTGCGTGTGTGCGCACACGGTGCATATTCAGTGTGAATCCATCTCGTCGCGTGTGCGGTACAGAAAGAGTACCCTAAAGAGAGAGAGAGAGAGAGATAGAAAAAGAAAGAGAGAGAGCGAGAAAGAAAGAGCGTGAATCGAAGAAAGAGAGAGAGAGAGTGATAGGATAGGAAAACGAAACAGAGAGGGGGTGTGTGTGTGTGTGTGTGTTGTGTGTGTGTATATATATATGTGAAAGAGAGAGAAAGAGAAAGAGTGTGTAAGGGAGAGACAGAGAGCGGCCGAGAGAGAAGGAGATAGAGCGCCGGTGGGTTACCACACCCAACCGCGCCGGGGACCGAGTGAACGAGTGAACGAGCCGTACGAGAGCTCTCTCGCGAGTAGTACGCGGGTTCAGCGGGGGACCCAGGGACCGACGGTCGAGATTCGACAAAGTACAGTCGGGACTCTCTAGATCTCGATCCAACGGGCCTCGCTCTCGTATCACCAGAATCTCTCGTCGAAATCGCGCCGCGACTCCGAAAGCTGAGAACGTGTGCGCGCGTGTCTCCCCCGCTTCCTCGACGTCTCTCGCGAGTGCGTTTCACGTTTCGTCGCTGGCAGAACGTGTGCGTGCGTGAATAAAGGAGAATAAAGATCGAGTAGAAAGATCGGAGAACCAGGAGCGCGCGCCTGTCCAGGAAACACGTCCGGGACGAGAAAGAAGTAAGAGGAAGAAGAGGTGAAGTACAGGGAAACGGGCAAAGAAACGTTGCTCTTTCTCTCTGCCGGTTGGTATCGGTGGAGAAGAGAGACGATTCGAAAAGGGAAACGAGCGGAGGAAAAGCACAGAAGAGAGAAGCTACCGGCCGAGGTTCGTGCGTGTGCGTACATGTGTTGATGTGTCGCTGGCGTCGTCGAGCCCTACCAGGACTGCTCCGTCGCCGCGTGTGCCGACATCGTTGATATAGTTACGGGGATTCCGGAGACGCGCGTTCGTCGAGTCCACGTTTACGTTCTATTTGCCGCTTGTCGCCGTCTCGTACGTTGTCGTCATCGCCGTCGCCGCGAACAGAAAAAAAAGTGGTGGTGAATCGTGCTAGTGGCGGTAGTACTGGTGGTGGTGCGGACGATCATTGGGGAAAGAAGTTTCATCGGCTCAGTGTCAGGACGAGAGGGAATAAAGAAGAGAAGAGGGAACCACGAGGACGGCGACGAGACGTCGTCGCTCGTTCGCGGTGGCAAGGTAATATCGGCCCGACGACGATACCGTGCCGTCGAGCCCGCTGCTGTCTACGACGAACCTCGGCCACTCGGCAATCGCTCGCCACCACCGCAAATCGCTTGTTCCCTCTCTCCCTTCCTCCCTCCCTCCTCCTCCTCTTCCCCCCTCCTCCTTTTCCTCCTTCTCCTCGTCCTCTTCCTCCTCATTTTTCTCCTCTTTTCCTCCTCCATCCGTCGAGGATCCTGCCGTCCTGAGCTATGGCGTGCTGCCTGTCGGAAGAGGCGAGGGAGCAGAAACGAATCAATCAGGAGATCGAGCGGCAACTCCGAAAGGATAAACGAGATGCCAGGCGGGAACTTAAGCTGCTACTTTTGGGTAAGTCCCAAATATCGTTTGTCCACGATACTCTTTTTTTTTTTTTTTTCTTTTCTCCTCTCGGAAATAATCCTTGTGATTGTCCTTAACGGAAATAATCCTTGTTATATCTCCAGCCCGTTACTCGGCATTCTCTCGGTGCTCTCGGTGTGTTCGTTATGTTCTCTTTTGCACGATAACTGCGCCGTGCCGTGCCGTGCCGTGCAGTACCGTTCCGTTCCGTTCCGGTCTGTTCTCTCTGTCTTGTTTCGACCCGTGGCTGCCGTACCGTCGCGATCGAAATATCGGGTGTGCCGTCTTTTTCTTTTCATCGTCTCGATGATATACGTTCGCGCGTCTCCTCGCAAAATGTCATGCGATCTTCTCTCTTCGACTGGACCGACGTTTCTCCTCGGGCCTAAGATGATCCGACCACCGATCGGAGAGAGCACACACGAATGTAGTTGACCCAGTCCAACCGGCGTGCACTTGACAGCTCTCGACCGTACTCGCTACACGATGCATAGTCTCGAGCATTTCTACCCGGCTCAACGTGTATACATATCGTACGTGCGTCTATACCGGAGGTTTTCAAGAGTCGTGCGCTTTTACTTCTTTGCGTCCTTTAATCGCGTTCCGAAACGATCAAAGCTACGGCGTCACGAATGCGTGTGAAGAGGGCGGAGAAATTGTTCCAAGATTCGTCGCGAGCCCTCTATAGGTTATCTCGCATTGCACTTAAACGTTGCTGCCATTGCACGCGCGTGTGCGTTATTACTTGCTTACGAGCCGTGCGTTCACGAGGATATCTCGAGCTCAGCGGCATGTGAAAAGACGCGAACGGTTTTAGAAAATTGCCAAGATATTAAAAGCCGTTTTATTATTATCACTGCTTTGTGGGCTGCCGATTGAGCAAATCGATTTTCCCTACACGTACGGAGGAGTCGTGTCGTCGATACGATTTTTATAACGTTCCTCTCGTTGGTGCGCCGCAATTTAATGAAATTTATCCGATTAACAGGAACGGAGCGGAAATAGTAAACATTTTTTTTTTTTTCTTTTTTTTTTTTACCGCCACGGAGATCAATTCGACGCGGTGCCTCGCCAGTGATCCCCTATCCGCTATCAATAAACGAATGCCTCGCGGTAGACAGGAGGAGAACCGATTCTAAAATTAGGCACAGTTATCGAGAGGTTCGCGCTGATCTTACGTGTACTCGTATACCATATCCATCCACGCGGTCGTATAGATTTTTTTTTTTTTTTTTTTCATTCTATGGTGAATTTCAATCTCGTGAGGCAATCATTTAACGTGATTTTGTCTCTCGTTTTATAAATACACCTTCTATTTTCAAGTTACGTCTACTAGTGACGTACAAAGTTTTCCGATCGGATAGATTTCTTTTTTTTTTTTATCTTACATTCCAGAAAGATATTCCAACAAACTTTGCTATATTAACACGTTGATGCGGCCATGGGAAACTTGCACGTTTTGTCTCTCAATTTCTGTAAGATATATTACAACGAAAGCGTATTATTTTTCGTTTCATGATATTGTTATATTACTTTCAATTTCTTGTTATTGATGTTCGTCCCGTTTTAATTATTTTAAAATATTCACAGAGATGGTCACTAGTAACCATCGTAGCAGTCAACGTGTTAATATTGTGTATTAGATCATTACTAGTATTGTAAAGAAAGCAGTGAAACGAATAAATAACATTGTTACACGTTAGTTAAGTGTTGCTTGTTTTAGAATACAAAGTAAAAAATCTATTCTATCAGAAGTTGTAGTTACTATTTCTGCCCGTGTAATGTGTAATATTGAAATAGTACACTTACGCTATAATCCTACGTATCGTTATACTATTGCGGAAACGAGAAAGGTGTTTCTAAAACGTTATTTAAATTAGATATGATCGTAGTTGAATGTAACTAGCTATTGAATTGAATCGCTTAAATTTCAAGCTTATGTAATTAGTTCACATTGTGTATATTTCCAAGTATAAATTATATTTGAAACTGATCATCATATGTTTCTAATCTATCGACTATCTCGAAGGTTACAAAGACAAACAGAAAACGATAAATTCGAACAGAAATAATAACTATAATATGGGTATGAAAAATTGATACTTTTGATTAAGATGTGTTTTAAAGGATACTTTATAATAGTTATGATATTACATACATAATTAATGGACTCAGATTCAGACTCAGACTTTTATATCTTGTTAACACGTATAATCCTGAAGTTTTTAAAGCATCAAATATTTTAGGATTCGAGCCCATCAAGTAATTAAAATACACGGTTAACCAAAGGCATTAAAATCGTCTCGGTTTCATACTTCTTTATTTATTACTTCTACAAAAAAGAAAATCGATAATTAATTTACTTAACGTCGACAATTAATTATTTCGAGCGACAAAGTAGAACATCGTGGAATGTATAAATCTATTTTTGTTACTATTCGGATATTTCACAATCTTTTAAATATGAATGAGGACTAAGAAGAGAAAGAGAGAATTGATTTTTATTGAATTTACGGTATACGTAGTATTGGGTTTCAATTGCACGGCAATAATATTTTACAAATTAAAAATGGCTTTTCAAAATTTTGATCACAAGGATCATATACTATCAAGCATTTAACGCTTAAATTTCGTGATTAAATGTAAGAAATATGTTATTTAAAATGGAAGATGATAAAGAATGTCCACACACTTTTAATATTTTCGACTTTGTACATAGTATATTTAACATATTGTGAATAACCAATTAGGAGATGATTTTACATACAAAAATGAGTCGAAGAAAAGAATAAAAAAAAAAAAAAAGGATTTTTTCAATTGAGGCTTTCGTTTTCGAGAAAATCAGGTATATACGTAAATACTTGAATTTGACTAATTTTGGTTTGAACAGGAATGGATCCCATTTACATTTCAATTTGTTAATCACAGATATAGCTTAAGGTAATGTTTTACGCTATATTTATATTACATCATATCATCACTCACTGATAAGGAATACCAACACTTACGTGTGTAAGTTTCCAAGACAAAACTTAATTGCTACATAGTCATCTGCAGTTCAGTTTCATTACATCGCAAGTTATCATTTCACTGTAGTTTTAAAGTTGAAAATATATATAAATATTTGCAAAGTGCGTATATTCCCTGTTATTTTCTTTCAATTCTTCGCCGCAATTCAGTTCACATCGCTTGTTATTATTTCAGTGTAGTTTCGAGGTTTGGAATTTTGCAAAGTGTGTATATTTCTTGTTGTTTTTTTTTTTTTCTTTTTACTCTTCTAACGATTTTGCCGCAATTTAGTTGTGGTTTAAGTATTGTATCTATGTAACGTACAAGGCGTCGTTTAACTGATAATACATACCGGAAAAGAGATAATTATATATGAAAATAAGTTGAAAAGAAAGAATAAGATTCTCTTATTTATATTCCTATTATTCCACAATTACATTTTTGAATATTATTATCCAATATATTCATGTACGTATAGTGTAAGTAATGGAACATAATTATTTTTTTCCAGTGAGAAATATTTCATACATCATGTGCATCAGTATTTTGCTAAGAGTTAAAGTATTTTATTAAAAAATCTTATTTTATTTTTGTTAAAAAAAAAAAAGAAACTAGACATTTTTGCCCAATTTTATTGAGCACTTAATTGTTTGGAGTTAAAAAAAAGTACCGGTTTTTCAATAGCTTGATATAATACACAGTAAGTTTAATTTTAATCAGCTAATCTTAATTAAAATAGCTGAAAACACAGAGATTTATGTTATACCAAACTCAGTTTGTTCAGTGAAGAATTTCCTCGACAGATGTTATCAATCTATTTTGATTATTTCATTATCAGTTTACGTGTTTAACAACTGAAACAATCATGTTTTTATATATTTTATTGAAAGAAAATTTCGCGCAACTGGGGATCCAAAAACAAGAATTCTATGTCGTGATCCAAAAACAAGAATTCTATGTTGAAGTCAATTTGTGTTTAGTCAGGAATTCCGCCAACAAAATGTCATTGGTTTATTACTTTAGGTTCGATCAGTTCCCATCATTTTACATATTTAACAATCGAAGCAATTCCATTTTGATGTATTTCAACAAAATGAAATTTCTGCACGATTCGAGACTCCGTTTATTATATATAGATATAGAAATCTTTTATCACGATGTATTTAGTTCATTTAATCAGGAATATCCCCGGACAGATGTTATTAATCTATCATTTAGTTATACATCTGACAACCGAGACAATCCCATTTTTATACGTTTCATTAAAGTGAAATTCCCAGTGTAACTGCTACGTTACAGTTAATTATACAACGCGACAGATGTTATTAATCTGCCTTTCAATTTCAATCACTCTCACTCCGTTCTACATCGATACGTGTAAACTGAGATAATCCCTACCCTCGTACATTCTACTGAAGTAAAATTTCTCACGCAACCCGTGACTCGTTTCACACTCAAAAATATTTCTGCCTCGTGGAGCCAGAAGGTGTCAAAATTACGTCAAAAAGAAAAAGAAAAAGAAACGCAGCACGCAGAGCCCGCGACGTTGAAACAGATTATCCAG